TCGCCTATTGATTGAGGACTCACGCTCAATCACATCGAAGGCATCGACATAACGATTTTGTAATCTTCCTGGTGTGAGATTCCCCTTACGTTTCCATCCAATTTCGTTCCAAACTAGCTTAATCAAGCACGTTTGAAACCCTATTTTGTGTGTTCTTGAACAAAGGAGCTCGATTCCTTTGATTGGTTGTGCGATTCTGATCAAACATCCACCCAGGGTGTTATCACCTGTTGCCGCAGATCATCTCGGAAGGCCAAAATGCATTCATTTGGGAATGGCAAATAGTGGAGAATGTCCTTCTTGGGCATGAGTTAATGCACTACTTGAAAATCAAAACGCGGGAAAAGAAAGGGTACATGGCTCTTAAGGTTAACTTGGAAAAGGCCTATGATAGAGTTGAATGGCCCTTTATACTTGCGATTTTGGACAAGATGGGTTTTATTTCGACTTGGAGGAGCTGGGTGCATGAATGTCTCAGATCGACGTCTTTCTCGGTCCTTATGAATGGCACACCTAAGGGTTCTTTATTCCATCTAGAGGTCTCCGGCCGGGGGATCCACTATCTCCTCTCCTGTTTGTGATTTGCACGAAGGGATTTGCAGCTCTCCTGTGGAAGGCCATTTCGGAAGGAAAACTGGAAGGGGTCAAAGTAGCCCCTCGATCTCCGCGGATCTCGCATCTATTTTTTGCCGATGATTCTTATTTATTCTTTAGAGGCTCTCAACAGGAATATGAGAATTTGATCACAGTATTAAATAAATATGAGGAACTTAGTGGCCAAAGGGTTAACTTGGCAAAGTAAGCGGTATGCTTTAGTAAGAATATCGCTCTGCCAGGCCAGGAATTTCTAGTGCAAATTCTCGAGGTTGGGGCTGTGGGAGTCCAGGATAAATATCTAAGGCTACCTACCCTGATAGATTAGTAAAAAATGGCGACATTTAGATATTTGGAGGAGAAGTTATAGGCTCAGCTTCAGGGATGGAAGCAGAGGACTCTGTCTTGGGCAACGAAGTAGACTTTGATTAAATCGGTCGCTTTAGCCTTGTCATTACATGTCATGTCCTGCTTCAAGCTACCACTCTCGCTCTGTCGCCTCTTGGACAAACACATTGACAGGTTTTGGTGGTGTGTGGAGAATAGGCAACCAAAGATCTTATTGATATCTTGGCGGAATATGTGCAGAAGTAAGCACGATAGAGGGATGGGGTTTCGTCGGTTTGAACATTTCAATCAGGCGCTGTTAGCTAAGATCGGCTGGCATATCCTGAATGAGCCAACCTCTCTTCTTGCTCAGGTGTATAAAGGGAAATACTTTCCGACAGGGAGTTTCCTCGATGCAACTGCATGCTCTCGTCAATCTTGGGGCTAGCAAAGCATCTTATTTGGCCGACAACTGGTGGTGCAGGGACTACGATGGCAAATTGGGAATGGAAAATCACCTCCACTACTTCATACTGGTTGGGTGCCTCGTATTCATCCCCTAGCTCCTACTTATAATTCCCAGGTCTAGCCAGAAAATGGTGAACTTACGGTCGCAGAAGTTATTTGCCCAGAGGAAAGTCGCTGGTGTGACTCAAAACTTAGCCATTTATTTGACCCGGCTATTATCGTGCTATCAAAGAAATCCCTCTTCCTTGCCATGATGTTGAGGATCGTCTAGTCTGGTATGGTACGTCTAATAGTTACTTTACAGTGAAATCTGCCTACCACTTGGTAGTCGAGTTGGATAAACAGGTTGGTAGTTAGCGATCCATGGCTAGTTGGATGGATAGAACTAGCTGGATTAGATTGTGGGACGCTAATATTCCCCCAAGCTGAAAGTTTTCCGGTGGCAGATTTTCAAACGGCTCATCCTTACGACGGAGACTCTTATCGAAAAGGATGTCTAGATCCATCCCAGGTGCCCGATGTGTTGGTCGGGGTCGGAGACAATGGAGCATTTGTTTATTGAGTGTCCAGTGGCTCGGGCCTTGTCGGATAATGCGGGACTTGAATATCTTGGTCAAGGGCTTCCTCGTCACACTTTCCCATTGTTCCTGAAAAAGTTGATGATGCTCATACATCAACCCCCTCTGCTGATGGCGGTCACTGTGGTCCTTTGGAGGATCTGGCGTTCCCTTAACTGGGTTATCTTTGAAGGCAAGCGGTTTGGGATCCCAACGATAATGCAGCAGTTCCACCAGTAGTATCAGGAGTGGATAAGCTTGCATGTTGATAGGACTCAGCGGTTTCCCGTATCTCTGGACCATCCATTGGGGGTTATACAGCCTAGTCCTTTTATATGTAAGTGGGATGGGGAAACCAAGCATGAGTCTCATTCGGCAGGAGGGATGGTTATCATGAATCAAGTTAGGGAGGTTCTCTTGGCTAAAGGGGTTCAGTTTGTGCGAATTGATTATCTTTTGGTTTTTGAGATGCTCGCCCTTCGGGAGGCGATTCTCTGGTGCCTGATGTCCAGGTTTACGGAGGTGCGATTGGAAGGTGACCCCAAGGTGATTATTGATAAAATCAATCAATTGGACACCAGGGACAGTCGGATTGGCGCCCTTCTTGTGAAAGTTGTGTAGTGTTTAGCGAATCATTCAGGGCTTAATGTATGATTTGTAGGTCCGAGTAGTAATACGGTAGCCCACTTAGTGGCTAGAAAGGCCGTTCAATTGTACCTGACTACGAGTCGTTTCTTTGATTTTCTGGCCTGGTCAAACTCCAGGATGTAATTATCTATTTTCTGATCAATATATATGATTATCTTTTGGCAAAAGAAAAAAAAATGGTCTTAAGGGAAGGAATATTAGAAACATAAATTATTGCGTATGCTTATGGTGACTTGGGAGAAAACAGTTGACCTCTTCCACTAAGTGGTCAACTACTTTCAAAAAAAAATGGTCGACCTCTTCCACCAAGTGGTCTACAACATGAGTCAACTGGTCTACCACTTTCAGAAATAGGTCGACCTGATGGCACACTTACGTTCAAGTGGTCCTCTTCCACCAAATGGTCGAACTTTTTCCAAGAAAATGGTCTACCACTTACACCAAGTGGTCCACCACTTGAATCAACCGATCTACCGCTTACAGAAATGGGTAGACCTGAAGACACACTTACCTTCAAGTGGTCGACCTCTTCCACCAAGTGGTCAACCAATTTCCAAGAAAATGGTATACCACTTGAGGCAACCGGTCACAAGACAATGATTGGATAAAAAATAAGAAAACTTAGAATTTGAAGGAAAGATGAGAGTCTGTATAGAGTAAGTCAAATATAAGAACTTAAGTTGGGAGCTGCTGCATCGAATCTTTCCAACTATGGAGGCTTTGCTGGAAAAGAAGGTTTTAGTTCTTGCTCGGTGCCCGGTTTGTTGGGCGATTGAGGAGACTAATGAGCATCTTTTCTTGGAGTGTCCCGTAGCGCGAGGACTTTGGGAGGTTGTGGGTCTGGCTGCAGAGTTAGAGATACTCCCTACAGGGTGTTTTGAGATTTTTTTCCAACAATTTTTGGAACGCAATGCTTCGCCTTCTCGTGTTGTTCGGTTGGTGTGCCTGTTATGGAGAATCTGGAAGGGTCGGAACTCTGTGGCTTTTGAGGGGCAACATACCCTTCCATCTATCCTAAGGTAGGAGTTCCTCTTTCAGATAAATGAGTGGTTGCAGGTTCCGCAGGATGTGAGGAGGGATGGTGTTGTTCCCGTTATGGCGCCGACTATGGTCTTGTCTGTTGGTCAGGGGGATTCGTTGGTAGGAATTATATGTTCCTTTGATGGAGCAGTCCGTGAAGGGTCCCATGCAGCAGGTGGAATGGGTTGCACGATACAGCGGATATGGTGCTGGCAGCAAAGGTGTGATGTATAATGGCCTTATGAACCCCATGTTGGCAGAGTTATCCACGTATAATGGCCTTATGAACCCCATGTTGGCAGAGCTATCCGGTGGTGTCGCCACCTTGGGTTTGAGGCTATATGGATGGAAGGGGATGCGAAGGTTGTCATTGACAAGGTCAATGCAGGGAGCATCTCTGATGCTGCTGGTGGGGCAATATTTAAGGAAATTCACCATCTTCTGTCCGCACATCCTGGGTTTCAGATTAGGTTTTTTGGGTAGGCGGAACAATAGGGTAGCCCATTTGGTGGTTAAGAAGGCCATGTCTTTGTTTCCTACGGGTTGTAATGGTTTCGATTTTTGTGCTTGGCTTCAACAGGAGCTAGGTCATGTGTAACTTCGTATTCTTGTTTAATGCAAGGGATCGTTTCGTAAAAAAAAGTCAAATATAAGAAATAAATATGCAGAGCATTTTTCAAATCTACCGGAGAATAATTACTCGAGAAACTTGTCATCTATGCTTGAGCCTTTGTACTAATTTTAAATCTCTTACTAGCAAGCATATCTATTATTATTTTACTCTAATTATTTATGATTATATCACTAGCAATGGTTCATCCAGTCGACCGGTTATTGAAAGCAGTGGACCGCTTGGTGAAAGAAGTAGACCACTTGATGAAAGTGATAGACTGTTTACTTGTAAAGTGGCCGACCTTTTAGTGGAAGAGGTCAACTGTTTGTTGAACATAGCAAAATGGAAAATAGTACATCTGGTCGACCATTTCAGCAAAGAGGTCGACCATATTAATGAAGAGTTGGACCATTTTGTCCAAATCATTGTGACTTGCAATTCACCGTAGCAAAGTCCTAAATTATTCTATTAGAATATTTCAGTTATCTCAATATAATAAGTCGACTAGGATTTACGTCAGCGTCTATATAATGTCATTCAATCATTTCCTCAAAATTAATCAACTATCAATAATAAAAACATCATTTGGTCTCTGGCCTCTCTCGGCTCTTCTCTTAATCCCTAATTCTCAATTCTTGTTCTTCTCCAATTCTCATTCTCAATCCCTAATTCTATATCTCAAATCCCTAAATCCTTTCTATCTCATCTATCTCCATCCATTTTGTTACGATAATCGTTAGTGCCCACGATCAGTGTCTCTTATACACTCATCGTCTACCGTGAAAATAGCAGCCTGTATTCAATTATCCTCTACTTGAAATAGTAACTTGTTGATGAAATCTGATTTTACAAACGGGTCATTCAGCCACAAGCGGCTTCCATTCAATTACAAGACACTCTTGACCTACCAATATCAAAACATGCTGAAAGAGAAAATGGGTGACAGTTCCAGCAGCAGTTAGCAATCGCGTGTAATCCCTAGTCCAGATAGTCTAATAAAATAATGGAGAACCCACACACACACTACGAATCATCATTGATTAGCACATAACTATTTGAACATGCTAATAAGTGTGACAATTCGAACCAACCACTCAAGTCACTTGGTGAAAAAAACTCCATAACCAAGTTAGACCATGTAAGTCATGCCCACCTGCATCAGATTAGAGTGAGGGACACTCAAATTGGCTATCCCTCTTCTGCAGTTCTTTCGCAGAAAAGCGTAGAAGTAGTTTATGACTAGCTTCTTGATGAACCAGGAATCCTTCCTTGCTCTAATGTCTCCGTGGCCCAGAAGATACACAACCCCTGATTCTTTAGCTTTTCTAATAAAATATAGCTCCCGATCAAGACTCTGCTCAGGATCAAATGGATCTGTCGACGACTCTGATTTCGAAAAAACCTCAGGAGAAGAACAGTAAGTGCTTGCCTCAATGGAACCACGGTTTTTGTTGTTGCAGGTTTCCTGGAACTCAGCCAGTAGGGGCATGCCAAGTGAATAAACACTTCCATTCGGAGCAACTAGGACTCTTGTCTTGTTGTTTGAGTAATCATCATCTTCTGTCTCCATATCATCATCCCCATCACTCTCTAACGACCTTTCCTGAGCCTCCCTCCTGATAAACTTCTCCAGACTCTCAATCAACAGCTGTTCAAACGCCTGGTGGTTCTCTTTCCTCACATCTTTGTAGCCATACCTATTTTTTATGTTTTTATGCAAAACAACTAAGCGATCATAAGAGATGGATATAACTGAAGAGAATAGGTTTCGAATGTCATGAATGAACAAGCACGTTACCTGGCAATACAACGAAATATGTGGTAGTTCTTTGGGCAGACACGTCTGAAAAGGAACCGTTCATTCTGAGTGACAACTGGGACTGGAACATACTTTATACACACAAATATGATCATTGAATGAATCGCCGGAAGAGTTGTCAGAAAATGGCCAAATATAGCAGGTATTCCTTTCACCAACTCATTGTAGAGCAAGCCAATTCCAGGGGCTCTAATTGTTCCTAAGTTGGACCCTAATTCCCGCATCAAATCCATTGACAGCTTCTGCTTCACTTCAGTTTCATATTTGAGCTTGCTCCCATAGTTCCAAATATACATGATAAGGAACATACTTCCAGCAAACACCAATATTATCCAACTTCCATCTCCCACACCCCATAAAACCGATGAGAAAAATGTCAATTCAATCCCTAGGAAAATCGTAAGAAAGCTGAGCACAACAAAGATATTGATCTGCCAAATTAGGAGCATAACAATTGTCACCAAAATGGTTGTCATAATCATGACCCCAAGCTCAGCAATCCCTGTAAATAACAAATTAATGCCAATGGTTATGCTCAAATAAGTAGGAACGTTTATTTGCCAGCATTTTCCTGACTTTGTCCAGATCATAAGAACTTGAATCAGTAGACCCTCATTAAATCCAGTGGTCGAATTCCCAGGACAAGGAAGTTTTGTATTCAACTGAACTAGACTGGACAACTATAATTTCATCAGCTGTGCATTGTTTTCTGAAAAGATCATGCAAGAGTTTTTCCTAACTTGTGATTCAAATTTGAACTCAAATTGCACATATCCAGAGCATATCCTGAAGCTTTATCAACACCAAAGGTATGGGGGGGAATTCTAGGACATGGCAACACATAACAATATCCATAGAACATTGGAGCAGGTGTGATAAGACTTGTTCGGTTCAACAACTTCCACCTAATAAACAAAGCCACCCTATAGTTCTCTTGTGTTCCAGAGAGTACAGTTTTATGGCCGTTTCAATAGATTTAAGAAAGAACCTAGTTGGAAGACAAGAAATGTTGGCAGTAAGGATATATTACCGTACGCATTTCCCATCTCAGTGATGCTTTGAATGGAGCAGATGAACAATATGCACACCACCAATAGAAACCAGTTAATGACTGGAATATAAATCTGACCCATGAACTTTCGAGAAGTATGAATAATCTTAAGTCTTGGGAAACAACCAAGTGCTGTTGACTGTTTTATACAAGAAAATGTAGCTGTTGTCACTGCTCGACAAGCAATTAATGCAGCAACATTAGCAATAAGGAAGATAGGCCAGAATACCCCACCTACAGACATAAGAAGTCAATTAGTTTTAAATCCACGGTAAAATCACGAAAGGAGAGACAGGTTAGTTCCACCGAGTAACGAAAAGGAAAATAAAAAGGAACACGTATCAATATTATCTCTATTATCACAGATATTGTTGGCCACGAAACAAGGGGAATGCAAGAGCTCACTTGGAACTGACGAAAAGAAAGCCTGTTCAGCCAGAATGTCAGTATGATTTTGCATAAGATATGCAGCTTGACCCAAATACCCCAGCAAAAGGCAAGGTAACACCAGAAATACAAAAGTAAGCTGCAATTGACCACTATTAAATGGATTAGAGTCACAGAAGAAAAGCAACCATGGCCAGAACTTAAAAAGTGGCACAAAAGACCAGAGTATCTGAAACACAAATGTTGATTGTCCTTGCTTTACCTGGATTGATCTAACAGAAAAATAGCAAAGATCTGCAAACATGGCTTCAGAACCTGAAAAAAGAATCTATCAGTTGCAAAAGGTAATCACAAACACAAAGCCAAAATATGAACAACACCAAAAAGGGTACTTTAACCTAAATACATATCAACATACATTACTGTGTAATAATAAGTGGTTCTTGGCATTTCCACAAGATGGACTTACCTGTTGCACATAGTATGCAACCTCCAAGAGCACGCCAGGCCTTAGCTGTGTCCCGCTTGAAGAAGTAATAGATGTGAACAGGATTAAATGCTCTTAATACACTGCTGTCATATTTGACAAGATTATAAATCCCAATGCCGGCTAGAGAGCAAAACCATACAAATAAAGCAGGACCTACAGCAAGTCCCACTTTGCTTGTACCAAACTTCTGTACACTAAACAAAATTACAAGAAAGGCAACGGAAATCATCACCACTTGGTCTGCATAAAAGAAAAGTAGAAGTCATAATATGCTCACATCTATACCTAGTTTGAGGGGATTAGACATGCCAAATGCAGACACAAAGTACCATGACAGAACCTGAAATAATTCATAAGGAAAGTAAATGTTGACACCAAAACGTCTAAGTCAGCTGTCTTCTGATGAAAATATAAAATCTCAGCGAAGAAGCAAGGACTTGTAGAATTGAGATGATATGTTACCTTGCTCGACAGCTACTACACCAACCTTTAGACCACCAACAGCTGACATCACTGGAATATAACAAATCGCATATACAGGAATTATCTCAGAACTCAAAACTGACGACTTGCACATTTTTCTAGAAACCAGGATTTTAGATGAATAAGAGAGCAGCGAGTAAAACCTGACATCGCTGGTGTAACTACTCCATCAGCTATCACCATCGAAGTACCAGCAAGCACCAAGATGAGAAGCAGCTTTTTCAATGTAAGTGATGCCTCTAGTCTTTCCTTGATTTTTAATGATCTCTCCAGTTCTGGGGATGGGACCTTCAGCCGGAAGCTTGAAATACGAGCATCTGATGGGAGCTGATTCGGAAGGAGACTAACCTTAGCATGCCGGCAGATCAATGAGTACAAGGCAAAAGTACCTCCTGCAGCATTGAAGAATAACCTTGAGCCACTCCTGGTTTGAAATATTCAAGGCATAACAGATGGAACAAAGAGGTAGGAGAGATCATCTAGTTCATAAGATTTAACTCACCTTCGCCATCATCATTTGCCCAAAGCACGACAAGGACATATTTGACAAGAGGTACCAAGATTAACGTGTACAGGACCAATGATAATGCACCAAGAACATCGTCTTCTCCACTTATGTATGCTTTTGTAAACACCACATCAAATGCATATAAAGGACTCGTTCCGACGTCGCCGAATACAACACCAAGTGTCTGAAAAGCAAGAATAATCTTCCTGCTCACACTGAAGTCCTGTATTGAACATGAAACGTTAAAAGAACAACTTCCTCCCTTTCGTAGAGCAATGCTTTCGGGGTTATTGAGTGCTGTAAAGGGAATTTCTATCATGGCACTCGGTATAGAAACAGAAAGCAAATAGGATGATAGATATACACTTAGAGGCATAAACTTGTTAAGACTAACTGAAGAGTGAGACTTAAACAGGAGAAGACCAAAACAGAGAGAACTAAAGGAAGCTTCAACATGCATAATCCTCAAGTTCAAGCAGATTCCCATCTTTATTGATCTAGAAAGATAGCCCTACAGCAAAAAAGTAAAAGCCTAAACTCAGGTAAAAGTTTACATCAGTCACGGCTCACGATTCTCCCACTTCCCAACAGAGAACTATCAGGTCTAAATTTCGTGCAAAGAGAAATCTCCCAAAACTCAACATGATGCCGCACCTCGTAATCACTTCGCTGGGCACTTGGGATCTCAAGAGCTTCAACGTCGAAGGAATCGATCCGCGGCCCGGTGCGGATCAGACACTGCTCCGCATTGTCGTCTTCGTCCTCGTCGTCCTCGGAATCCAATCCAGTGCGGCGATGCTGCAAACCATCCTCGTCGTCAAAGACAGAGTCGTCGTCGTCGTCTTGGAAGACCCACCGTGACTCCACCGAGTCCATCGAACCGAGCCTCCCGCTTATGTCGGAGCCACCACCGCAGAGACTAACAATACTGCTACTTCCACTTGCAGTGCCACCGCCAGCGTCGTCCGCCATGGCCACAGGCACAGTGAAACGCAGAGAAGGATGAAAATGTTCGATTCCAAAATGAAAATTGCCCAAATGGTGGACGGAAAGTGATGATTTTTAGGCTGGATTTAGCCTTAATCGTTTGAGGCATTTTGTGCTTTTCCACTTTTCCGAAAATAAACTTTTGTATCCGATCCGAATTACTAAGATTTTATTTAGGGTAAATTGGTTGTTTACTCGAACTACTAAAAACGTTTATATATGGTCATTAAAAATATTTAATTTCATTCTGAGTCACTCGAATTAATCAAACAGTTCAAGTTTGGTCACTCTCCATTACCTTCCGTCAGCCTCCGTTAACACTGTCAGTCATTTGTTGACGTGGCTAACAGAAGTGCTAACTAACCTAATTTTAATCTGTCACATCACCAAATTCAACCCTCCATGTCATTAAAAATTGCCATGTCATTTCCCTAACCCAACCCAACCCTTTCCAATTATGACCCAGCCGGCCAACCCGCAACAACCCCACCAGACTCTGATTCCGATGATTCTTTCCCAAATCCAGAGTTTCCCAAGTTTTCCGCCGCTATGAACCCCCCTCTTCCTCCATCTCCGCTAGGGAATCCTCCTCCTCCACTGTAGCAACTTCCTCGCTCTAGTCGCCTCTGATTCCTCGCTAGCCGACCTCCATTCCACTTGCAATCAACCTGACCTCCAGCCACCTCCGATCTTCTTTCTAGCTTTTATTATCTCCACCATCTCCTGCTCCGACTTAGAGCTCGCGAAGAACAACATGATTTCACCGTTGACGCCGCTGTCGATTGAGTCTTGTTGAGGCAAACCACGAGATTCCAAGTTGGAATGTAATGATTATTTGGGTTTGTTATTGTTAAACAATGCGCGGCGGTAGCTAAAGCTACGACTAGGTCAATTTCAACAAAAACGACTACGGGAATGGCTTTCAAGGCTTCGACGACAAAACCAATTTTTTCTACGGTTGGTTTGGAATCGTTCATTCGACCCAAAAGAGAGTATTGGGAACATGTGGGACTGGATTAGGACTTATTGGGATCAATGCAGTCAAAATCGTGATTCTACCTAGAAACGAAAAAGGGGTAAAATCGTAAAACGTAGAATCAAAACGTAAAAACGTAAGTTTTTATTGCATCCTGTAAAATAGCTAAAAATCGGTTAAGTACAATATATATTATGCAAAATATGAGTGTATATATTTTAGATAGTGAACAAATACATATAATTCATGTTTGAAATGTAATTTTTCACTGATAAACTAATTTATGTCGATTCTAAAATAGAACAAACTCATAACATATTGACAAAAGTTGGCAACCTATACCATAACTCAAAAATGAGTTAGAGAATCCAAATCCAAATCACTCAACGACAATGTTAGCACCGAATTTGATCCCAAAGCAAGAAGAAAAATCATTTTCCACAATTACATTGTTGTTAGCACATTCAATCAACATCTCTAATAAAATAGACAAAAAATGTCGAATCAAAGAGATTCCTTAAAAGACGATGAAAAGAAGAGATTCATATAAACAAAAGACAAACCCCTTTAATCTAAAAGACCAAGCCATTCTCACATATATACAGGCCAGAGCGCCAATTTTCGAACAATTTCAAGACCATTCCTCGAAGACCAACATAATCATGCAGAAGCAAATCAAAATCTTCGCCTGGGCGCGGCAGGAGTTGGAAAGCTGCTTGGAGTTGGCGACGATGAAGGCCATCAGTCCGCTAGCGAAGGTGGAGGCCGCGAGTCTGCTGGTAACGGTGGAGTCTTGTCAACTTCTCCAATGGTTGCGACTTGCGACTACTTCGAGCGTTCGGCTGAAGAATTAGGGATTTTTTATGGGAAAGAATTAGGGATTTGCAATTTGGTTATTAGGTTTGAGAGTTGAGAGCCTTCGACTGATGGAGCGCTCGTTATACCCCTTTTGAAATTTTTTATTTATTTTATAATGCTAAAACGTTGTCACTTTGATAAAATTGTCAATTTTCTGGTTATGAAGTGGAATCGTACAAAAACGTTATGGAAACGCGTTTTTGATGGTTTTTACCGATTTTAACGCTTCCACTTACGATTTTGAACGATTTTGAGTACAAAACGATTTTAAGTGGAAACTGAATCGTTTTAGTGACCTAGATACGTTTTTTACGCTTTAAAACACGATTTTGACTGCACTGATTGGGATCTCTAATTCCAGATCCTCACCTCGCGTTCACGGGGAAGATATCAGCAGCAACAACCCTGAAATCTCCCTCCACTTCTTATTGACTTGTCTTCGGTAAACTCCGCCAGCTCCCCACTGCCGAAATTGAAAATCCTATTGTCGACCAGAAAAGCAAAATCGCAAGGATTTGACTCCAAGATGTCGTTGTGGTTCGTCAGGCTTTCCGCCTTGAAGCCCAGCTTCTTCAATCCATGGGGAATCGAGCTCTGGCAGCGCCCGATTACGGAACAAACCGACAAGTTCGAAGCCGTGGAAATCCTCCATGAGGCGTTGGCATACGACAGAGCATTGCGGTCTCATCACCTCCCAATCTCTCAGCCGGATTTCACTGAGTCACCGCCGGAGGAGCAGGGGATGAATCGGCCGTTGAAAACCTCCACCGGCGTCGCGATCAACAGGGCAAATTTGGTCCCCTCGATTTATCTTAGAATTGAGGGAGTGGAGAGCGAGGCGGAGGCAAAGTCAGAGTGGATGAGAGAGGATAAGACTGGGAGGAAGAAAAAGAGCCAAAGGCGGATCTGATTTTGGTGAGGTAGGGATTTTTTTTCTTTTTGCAGTTAGACCAGCTAAAGGAAGAAGAGGAAGGGTCGAGTAAGGGTTTGGTACTTTGTAAGGGTTGGATTAGGTTGGGTGCTGATTTTATGACGTGGCAGGTCACGTATTTTTTTAATAGTTGAAATTAGCTTATTAGGCACTTCTGTTAGCCACGTCAGCAAAAAACTAATGGTGTTAACGGAAGGTAACGGAGAGTGACCAAACTTGAACTGTTTGATTAATTCGAGTGACTACGAATGGAATTAAATATTATTAGTGACCGAACATGAACGTTTTTAATAATCCGAGTGACCAACCATGCAATTTACCCATTTTATTTATCAACATCCCAATGATTAAGATTAAAGAGAAGGTGGAGGGTGAGAGTCGGATTAGGTGCTAACCTTTTAAGGATGGCAATCAAACCCGTATTTATGGGTACTCTGAACGCCCCGAATCAATCAAGTAATGAACTGCTACATCGATTGGGTATGTGGTGGGTGTAAGGGTGCAACAGTGTTGCTAGAGCCTAGGAAGTGAGTTTCATGGTGCCCCTTGATTAAGGGTTGGGCATCCGATTCAGTAAATCCGAACCAGACCGAAACCAAACTTAAGCATACCGAAATTGAATTATTGTTATTCGATTCCGAACTCAAATTTTCGATTCCAAACCGAATACTGAACATTCTCACCCTCTCATACTCACAGCCCACTCTCTCACACACTCACAGCCCACAACCCCAACCAACTCTCACACACACTCACAGGCCACAACCAAGCCCACTATCACATACACATGCTACAGCCGACAACCCCAAGCCCCCTCTCTACCTCTGTTTCTCCGTTGGCCTAATGAAACTCTAGCCACACCCAAATTTCCTCCCAGTCACACCCAAATTTCTCGTTTCCCAATAGCCTCCCAGCCACACTCAAAGTTCCCGTTTCCCAGTCATGCCTCCCTTTCAATCCAATCTCGCAGCCAACAACCACATGTAGAGAGTGGAAGAGCCACAGTGGGAGAGGTCGACCCCGATGATGGAGGGAGCTGAGCACAACCACAACGGCGGAGATAGCTTACCACGACTAGGCGGCGGAGAGTGGAAGAGCAGATATGGGGAGGGTGACCTCGACGACAAAGGGAGATGAGTATGACCACGGCGGACGAGAAAGCTGAGCACAAGCGGGCGGCGGAGGGAGCTGAGCGTCGTCGTCGTGGATGTTGAAGTTGGATCTGTAGGGACTACAGAGTTGAGCATCAAGGCGGCGAAGGGAGGTGAGAGGCAGAGTCAGATCTCTGTGGTCGGTGACTGATTCAGTTGTCGGAGTGGGGAGAAGGAAGAGGAGGAGGTGAGAGAGCAGAGGAGAAAATTGGGGGTTTCTAATTTTGTGGGTCTTCAATGAGAGAATAAGAAGTAGCGAGCGTAGAGAGAAGCTCGGGTTGGTCGGTTTCTAGGTTCAAACCATTATATATTTTGGTTCAAAATCAGTTTCAGCCTTAAGAACTAATAGAGATATAGCCTTGTTTGGTTCAGTTCATAGAATCGATGCCCACCCCTATAGGTGTCAATCGGGCGGGTTCGGGCGGGTTCGGGTCGGGTTCAGTCGGGTCGCGGGTTAATCGGGTTGCGGGTCAAACGGGTTGCGGGTTGATCGGGTTGCGGGTTGATCGGGTTGCGGGTTGATCGGGTTGCGGGTTGATCGGGTTCGGGTTGATCGGGTTGCGGATCAGTCGGGTTACGGGTTGATCGGGTTGCGGATCAATCGGGTTCGGGTTGATCGGATTGCGGGTTACAACAGGTCGCGTTGCGGGTTGTTCGGTCCACACCATCGAGTTTTTTTTATAATTAGTTATTACACTATTTTTTTAGGGAGTTATTACACTAATTTAAAACAAACTCACCAATCACCATATTGCAATTTTGAAGCAGACATAGATTGCTGAATGGGTATCCATTGATTCGAGCAAATAGAGGATTGAAGAATCTACCCAGATATGCCGCCACCGCCTCAGTCCAATTGGTAGTCGTTGGTTAGGGAAACTGGGTCGAGGCCCCATATTTCTCCTTTCCCATTATCTCATTTCTTCAATCGCGCAATGTACTCTATCAAGCGAGAATATAGAAGTTTTCAGGGAGTGATGGTTGTGGTGGTGGATTTAGAATTAGGGTTTGTTTTCTAGAAAATGGGAGGGAGGGGAAGAATTTAGGTAACCAAAGCGTGGAGCGAGAGCGAAAACGGGATGGGGAGCGAGAGCGTGAAAGCGTCAATTTTTGAAGAATTCAATATTGAGAGCGCGATTAGAGCGTTAATATAATATTATTATAATTAAAAATTAAATAATTTTTTAACCACTAAACTATGTTCTAAAAAACATCTCAAGTTCTCAACTATAAATCTTGTCTTTTTCCCCTGCCACAGTTCCACCATATTGTTTTTACAGACTACCCCTTCAATCAAATAGCCCGTACAAACTCGGTTATCCAAAAGACAGGCCCATAGATATCAAATTACAATGATGTCCATTGTCCGCCTTAAAATTA